TATATATACATGTATATATATATATATATATTATATAATATATCCCTCTTTACATGAGTATATGTATAATCAATATATATATATATATATATATATATATATATTATAATATATGCATGTATATGTATATAAAGATGTAAATTCGTGAGAACTCAGTACCTGCTCAGGACTTACCCTATGGACTTTGGTGATGCCCTGGCAGAGATCGTGCCGACCATGCATGAGGGCATCAAGGGCCTACGTGTGGCAAATGTGTCTCAGCTGCAGCTTCAAACATGGATGGAGCTGTGAGCCTATATATATGCATGGACATTATATCAACTGCCATGGTGTATGCTTGTTCTCTCTCATGCTCTCTCTCGCTCTCTCTCTCTCTCTCTCTCTCTCTCTCTCTCTCTCTCTATGTCTCTCTTTCTCCTTCTCACATGCTCTTACTGCCAAAAGCAATGTCTGAATTAACTATATATATATATATATGATACATATACATATATATATATATATATATATGGCACAGAATGCAGCCTCAAGCTCTCTGTCATGCTCTCTGTATATATATATATATATATATATATGTATACATATATATGATGCATGTGTGGGTGTGCTGATGTGGGTTCCATACCATTTCTGGGAGTGCACTCTAGATTGTGGATATACTTGCTGTATTTATATTGGTTATTATATGTATGCCTGCTTCCTTCGAGGACGATGCTGGCATGTCCATTATGCACCTGCTGACTGCTATGTCAGCTGATCGCGACCTTTGGGAGCAGGCTGATATGATGAGTGTGGTGCACTATCTGTGGGGTGCCAAATCATTGGACATTCCGCCTGAGCTGAAGGAGTTTCTGCGATTTTAGACTGAGTACCTTCTGTGCTGATATCATGGCAGACCTCCGATGTAGTTGCACGTGCATGCACGCCTTGCTGCTGAAGAGAGCCATCTTGCAAGTGCCCAAAGAAGCTGTCGCATGCAGGTATATTTGCACTTGACATAGCTGTTTCATGGACATGTTCGATTCAACACACAATTGGTTTCTTGTACTACGCAGCTTGTGAGTGCTTGGAACAAGAATTGGTTTCCAGAAACCAAAAAAAATACCGCAACCTAGGACATAACTGGCGGAACCTTGAAAAAAAGCAAAAACCTAGCGCGACGCATTGCGTCAGGAAACCAAAAAAATTCACCAGGAAACCAAAAAAATTGAGCAGAATTGAACGCATTTGAACGCATTTTTTCCTATTTTTGAATCCAAGAATCCATGGCCCCAAAAACCAATTTTCTCCGCAGCCTTCACTGCGGAAACCAGATTTTTTTGGTTTCCCAACCCACCGGCCCGAAACCAGTTCTATTGTATCGGAACACCAGGAGTTATTGCTGCCAACAGAGGTCAACGAAGCTCTTGCACCAGCGGTGTATAATAAAACCTTATTTGAACGCAGCCTCTGCTGTGCTATATAGTCTTAGTACAGCAAAATCACCCAACTTTCCGGTGGTGTACAGCCACTCAAGAGCAAAGGCTCTGGCACATTTGGTTTTCCACGAACTTGTTTTGCACGCAGTCTCTGCTGGCCTGTGATAAGAAGTGATGCTGCGTGCAAAAGCGGTTTTTGCTCCCAAACCTGTTTTGAACGCAGCCTTGGCTGTGGCATCATATGAACCAGACTATGCTACGTGGCTGCGTGCAAAAGCGGTTTTTGTTCCCCAAACCTGTTTTGAACGCAGCCGTGGCTGTGGCAGATCCATTGAACCAGACTATGCTACGTGGCTGCGTGCAAAAGCGGTTTTTGTTCCCCAAACCTGTTTTGAACGCAGCCTTGGCTGTGGTATCATAGATCCATTGAACCACACTATGCTACGTGGCTGCGTGCAAAAGCGGTTTTTGTTCCCAAACCTGTTTTGAACGCAACCTTGGCTGTTGTGTGCTTGGCTTTGGATACAAATCTGCATGTGCATGTATAATAAATATATTTATTATATATAATATAGAGAGCCTGTTTTGAACGCAGGCTGTGATATACAGCAAGCCCTCGATTTATACAGCACAACACATTAAGTTATACTACAACAAAAATCACCAATCTTGGCCACACGCAACCCAGCATTCCAACACAATTGGTTTATAGGAAACCTGTTCTGAACGCAGCCAGTGCTAGCTCCTCAGACAAGACACAGCAGAGCGTGCACAATTGGTTTATTCCGAAACCCTTTTTGAACGCAGCCTGTGCTAAATCACAACCTGATTGCTTATCCTATAGCATAATGATACACCATTGTAATGTTCTATATATGAGACATGAAGCCTTAAGATCCAACAGAAGGGGTTTATTGGAAACCTGCAAGCGAAGCTGCGGGTTCATGCCGAAACCTGTTGTGAACGCACCCTGTGCTGATATTGCATGCAGAATACCACAGATCGATATATAATATACAAACCAGAAGTCCAACACAATTGGTTTTGCGGATACCACCTTGCAATGCAGTCTTTGCTGTCAATGTAATACAAGATCCTGCGTCCACAAGTAGTTTATTCAAAACCAGTTTTGAACGCAGCCGTGTGTCTATTATATATCTATAATATAGTGTATTGAATAATGAGCAGTCGTAAACTTTCGCACCAGCCAAGCTTCCAGCACAATTGGTTCATATCAAACCTGTTTTGAGCGCAGTCTTGCTGTCTGGTTATTGTTTCATGCAATGTACCTTGGCCTGGAAACAAAGCGGTTTGCTCAACTATAGATTCACTCGAGGGAGGATGCATACTACATGGCCCTATGCTGCTGCATGTCAGGTACGGATGACCCGCAGCAGCTCTACAAGAAGCGACGTGCACAAGCAGGTGCCGACAACGTTGCTGGTGCATGCTGGCTGTGTTTCCATGCATGTGTGTGTGTCCTATATATATATATATAATATAATATAATATACACATATTTTACAAAGTAAATTAGCACTTGGAACAACATAACATTATACATTTGTTATATAATAGCTCCTTAAGTAGTATAGCTTAATACTCCATGTGCATCTTTAAATATTATATAGATATGAACATGCAGAAATGTGAGCAGCATTTGGTAGTATACTCTAATCTACATGTAAAATATGGTATTGATATAACTATAGTAAGAATATATAATGTATATTGCATGCTTCCTGGAGAGCAGTTTGCATGTGCTGATGCTGCTTGAGTTTGGGAGCAAATTGAACATGGCATGGTTTGTTGCCCATTTGGGGCCAAGCTTTTTTGAGGTGGTGGTTTCCGAGGAACCTTCGAAGCCATGGATTCGAACAGTGCTGGCAGAACCTGGAGTTGTGCCACCTTAAATGGTGGAGTCAGTCATCTTCAAGGAACTGTGCAGCCGCCCCTCATGCACACACCATTGAGGGAGGACTCCTGGCCATCATTATACGGACCATGTACAGGTGATGTGTTGTGCACCCATATGGAATCCCGTCCCCTCTGTTCGAAATGCCCAGGTAAAGCAGGAGCTCCTGGAGGAGCCATGGGTTGCGGCGGAGATTTTGAGGACTTTCAGCCCGAGGACCCGTCAGATGCTATCACGCTTGCCCGACACGCCGCAGTCACGCCAGATTGTGCAGCACATGTTGAGTGTTCATGGTCAATACCGTCACTTGTTGGCATGTGCAATTTCTGTCTATCTATATTATATATATAGAGCTTTGGGTACATTCAGCTGATTGAAGTTAAAAAGACTTATAGAACCCGACACAACAACACCTATCGTAAGTGTAGGTCACATATTCATGTACTAGATATAGAGCTATAAATGTATACAGGCATCTGTGCATGTATGAAAGTGATGTGTTTTGTTCTTTATACGATGTTTATAAATACAGTATTGTATGTCCATCTCAATAGTTATAGAAGGTTCATGTGTTGTCTACTGAACGATTCAACTACACAGCTGTACACTCTATCGGGTGCTGTACCTTGTATATCAACATTCCTAATCTGTTAGGGCTTCTAAGATGCATCTGCTGACTGACAAGGCAACCGTAGGATCCAGCTAAGGCCACCCTTGATATTGATGTGTTGCAAAGATACCGACCTGGATATCCACAATGGATTAACATAGCTCAGAAATACTTTCGGTAGTGTGTCAGAGCTGTCTGAGAGAATGCCAGTTTACATGGACTATACATATACAGAATGTATATACAAATGCATATAGAGGTATCGGCAAAGTACGAGCAGTCGATTTCTGGCACCATTCTGATACATATATATATAAATATAAATAAATAAATAAATATAAACAATAAATATGTGTGTGGTGTTGATTATAAAGTACAGTTTCGAAAAGCAATGTACATATATATATATATATAGATAGATATATAATTAATATTAATATATACATATGCAAACCATATGAATAACAGTTCAGTTGATTCAACTATGTGTAGTGTATGAACAAATCTGTAATATCTATGTATATATATACATATATATATATATGTATGTGTATACAAATGTATAGACACATATCTATACTAACTCAGTATTCTGATATATATATAATATATATATATAATATTAAGATAGACCTAAGCTATCATTCTATAAGACAGTAGACTGACTGGACTTGACTACATGTGCAATATGCTGTAATCTAGTAAAATATAAGATAATGTTCTTAATATGCTGTCACAGGAATGCTTTGCAGAGGTTCTCCTTGAATGCTTGTGTGTTGATCATGAAAGAGCTCCCTTGTCCGCATCCTGGCTCATGCAAGGTTGCACACAACCTGTGCAGACTCCAGTGGGGCCCGTTTTGGCAAAGATGGAGCAGGATCGTGGCCGAAAACGCCCGGTTGAGCCCAACTACCCCCCACCCAACTGGGTTGAGCCTCCAAGACCGCCTGAAGTTCCTCCGCCATGCCCGCCCCCCCCTGTACCCCCCCCCCCCCCACCTTTCCCACCCCCCCCACCTGCTGTTTTCCCTGGCCCGGTGCGATTGGCATTCCCTCAGGTGCATCCTCCGGCGCCGAAGGACGCAGCTGTGCATGAGCAGCTGATGCAGGCGAAACAGCTCTTTGCGGAGAAGAACAAGGTCAAGGGTGTTGTGGTGCCACCGCCAGAACGTGCACCGGCCACTCCTGACCATGCTTCAGCTGCTGCAGTGCAGCCAAAGGCTATGCAAATGCAAAGCCCACCGGTGCAGAGCCCGCCCATGAAGAAGACGAAAGTTGGTGTGGAACCCAAGAAGATGCCAAAGTTGCCTGGTGCATCTGGTGCAGGCAAAGGGCGGAGAGAGGCATGTGAAGCAGATGCTGTGCCACGGGAGGCAGCAGCAGCAGCTGTGGAACCGGCTGAGGCATCCAAGCAGCCTGATGCGATGCCACAGCAGGGCTTGGATGCTCAGCCGAAAGTGCCTGTGCCAATGCAGGGGTCAACACCTGCTGTGAGGCAGGCTGGTGTGGCGCCACAGCAGGTACCGAAGATGCCAGCGGCGCCTACGACTACGAGTGCCACAGGTGGCAAGGGCTCCGTGGGTGAAAGGCCAAATGTGGCTGAGCCTGCACCTGCTGTGTCGCCAGAGCTGATGACTACGGTGTTGCAGCTGCTACAGCAGTCGCAGGGGGTGCCTACGCAGCAACTGCATCAAGGGCCCATGGTGATGCAGCAACCACGGGTGGTGCCTACGATGCCACAGCAACCGCAGGTGGTGCCTACGATGCCACAGCAGGTGGCGCCTACTATGCCACAGCCGACGGTGCCTGTGTTGCAACAGACGGTGCCTAGGATGCAACAGACGGTGCCTACTATGCAACAGCCGTTGCCTACGATGCCACAGCCGATGGTGCCTACGATGCCACAGCCGGGTCCTACGATGCCACAGCCGACGGTGCCTACGATGCCACAGCCGGTGCCTACGACGCCACAGCCGGGTCCTACGATGCCACAGCCGGTGCCTACGATGCCACAGCCGGTGCCTACGACGCCACAGCCGGGTCCTACGATGCCACAGCCGGTGCCTACTATGCAACGGCCGGGTCCTACGATGCAACAGCAGGGTCCTACGATGCCACAGCCGTTGCCTACGATGCAAGGGCAGGTGCCTACGATGCAGCAACCGTTGCCTACGAGTCCAAGACCTGCCATGGGCTTCATGGGTGGGGGACGAATGTGGTTGCAGAGAAGCAGGGGTCATCACCTGCTTACGTGCAGCCTGGTGCAACGTCAGTGCCGATGCCTACGTTTCCAACAGCGGCTGGGGGAAAAGGTGTGGGACCGAATCTGGTTGGTGGGAATCCACATGCAGTGCCTGTGATGCCTGGGTCTCCAGGTGGAGGAGCTTCGATACCTGTGGGGATGACAGCTCCGCCCCAACTGGAGCAGGCTGTGGCGATCGATGCGGTCTACCTGTCCTTGAGGACATTGGTTGGTTCGACCACCCTGCCAGATGACGTCTACGATATGTATTTGCGACTCCTGCACAAGTGTGCAGATGCTTCACGAGCACGGGAACATGGTGAGGCCTCTGGATCGACAATGGAGCCCCTTCCGACCGAGCCACGTGTTGTGCCGACTACCGAGCCTGTGCCGACCACCGAGCCTCCGGCTGGGAGGGCAGAAGTGGCTACCCATGGGAGGGATTCCGTGATTGAGGTGCCGACCACAAGCCCATCGGAGGACATCGAGCAGCAGAGCCCTCCAAAGGATGCTCCAAAGGGAGATGGACACCCGTAACTCGACAGAAGGTTCAGAAAAAGAGCCGCTAGAATGCTCTTGATAGTGTCAGAGGTGAGTGTATCACTGAGTGCATTTATTGCTTCTGAAGTGTTGTTTGCAGGACAGGGCTGCGGGCGCAGAGTCTGAACTCGCAGACGCACCCAGCAGAGTGGAGTGCCCTCTACCGGTACTGTCATGGAAAGTCCATGAAGAACAAGGACCCGGAAGTGCGGGCCGAGATCCTGGCCAAGTGGCAGACAGGTTCTTGGCATTGAATTGAGAACATGTGTCTTGTACGTGTGTCTCGCACATAACAAGTGTATGTTCGGTGGGAGTCTTCATGTACATGTATAATGGACTCATATCTATATATACTTATTGCCTTATCTGATTGA